AGACCCGCCTGGGCAGGTGAGACCTCATCTCTACAATAAATAAAAAAAATTAGCCGGGCGTGGTAGTGTGCGCCTGTAGTTCCAGCTACTTGGAAGGCTGAGGCGGAAGGATCCCCAGAGCACAGCAGGTCGAGGCTGTGGTGGCCGGGAGCAACCATTGCACTCCAGTCTGGGCGACAGTGAGATTCCAACTCAAAAAAATAAATAAAAATAAATAAAAGTTCTTTCAACATTCTCTTCCACCCTGGTCTGAGCAGGGGTTTTGAATTACTTTTGTACTTTGTATTTAAAATGCTACCTCTGGGAGGCAGAGGCGAGAGGATTGCTTGAATCCAGGGGTTTGAGACCATCCTGGGCAACTTGGTGAAACCTCTTCTCTACAATAAATCAAAAAATTAGCAGGGCATGGTGGCGCTCACCTGTGGTTCCAGCTACTTGTAAGGCTGAGGCAGAAGGATCGCCTGAACCCAGCAGGTCGAATCTGCAGTGGCCGTGAGCGTGCCACTACACTCTAGCCTGGACAACAGAGTGAGACTCCTGCTCAAAAATAAATAAAATAAAATGCTGGCTCCATTCTGAATTACTGCAGAAGAATGACTTTCATTTCTGAAATTTTACTTTTTTTTTTGAGTTGGAGTCTCAAACCTGCTGGGCTCAACCTGCTGGGCTCATACGATCTTTATGCCTCAGCCTTCCAGGTAGCTGGAACTACAGGCACATGCTACCACACCCAGCCAATTTTTTTTTTAATTGTACAGATGAGGTCTTCCCAAGTTGCCCAGGCTGGTCTCCAACCAGTGGGGTCAGGCGATCCTCTCATCTTAGCCTCCTAAAGTGCTGGGATTATAGATGTGAGCCACCACACCCAGCAAATTTTATATTCTCTTTCCACTGAGATGTCATCTGTCGTGTGCTGATCTGCTTTCTATTCCCTACCAATACAGTGCTTTGGTTTATTTCCTCACAGTGACCGGCTAAAACCACAGAGTAGGTTGCCTTTGACCCGTATTTCCACTCTGACACTGCAGCCAAGCCTTTTTACTTAAGCTCTTACTAATATTTCCTGTAATTAACAGCCAATCCTTTCACCCCCACCCCCATCCCTTTAGGGTACACAGGTAAATTCTCTTGTTGAACATTATAAGGAACTATTCACTTTCTTCCATTATCTGCATTATTATTCTAATAAGTGGCCCATATCCTGGAGTCTGGGAATCTTTTCTGTTTCTAGTAATGTTTATTTAATAAATTTATTCATGCACCTAAAAAGCCCACAGGCAGTCCAAAGCGGGAGGCCCCTGAAGCTTTTCTTTCCTTGTGACTATTACGTCTTGCTACCAGCTAAGATAGTGGGGAATTCTCTTAGGGACTTCGAATCTCAGGGCAGTCTTTTCCCTTTCATTCCCTGTGTAGCTCTCCACCTACCCCCTCCTCCTGCTCCCAGGACACAAAACCAGACTTATTGAGTACACTAAGTGTTTGTTTTATTCTGACATAATTAAGGCAATAGAATCTCAATACAAGAGAGTATCAGTACCTAAATTATACAATTGGGAAACCTGGAGGTGAAATAGTCTCCTTTTACTCAGGTACAGTCATGTGTCACTTAAGGCCTGGGCTGCTCTGAGAAATTCTTTTTTTTTTTAATTTATTTTATTTTATTTATCTATTTAATCAATTTTTTTATTATGGTTTTGTGGGGTACAGTTAAGGGTTAGGTGTACAATTACGTTTCATTCAGGCACCCTGTTGATAAGAAGTGTTTCCCCATCCCCAGACAGATATTTGCTACTGTTAATCCCATCCCCCTTCCCCCCCCCCGAAATTCTTGCTTAGTCTATTTCCTCATTGTGTAAACCTCACAGAGTATTCTTACGCAAACCTAGACAATAGGGCCTACTGCACCCCTGGCTGTGTGGTATAGTCTAGGCTATAAATCTGCACAGCAAGTTACTGCAATGAGCACTGTAAGCAATTGTAACACTGTGGTAAGTATGTGTGCATTTAAACAGAAAAGGCACAATAAAAATGTATAAACCGGGCATGGTGCCTCACGCCTGTAATCCCAGCACTTTGGGAGGCGGAGGTGAGAGGATTGCCTGAGTTCAGGGGTTCATGACCAGCCTGAGCAACCTGGCGAGATCTCATCTCTACAGTAAATCATTAAAAAAAATTAGCCAGGCACCCAGCCGGGCTCGGTGGCTCAGCCTGTAATCCCAGCGCTTTGGGAGGCCGAGGTGAGAGGACTGACTGAGCCCGGGGATCCGAGACCCGCCTGGGCAACTTGGCGAGACCTCATCTCTACAATAAATCAAAAAATCAGCCGGGCGTGGTAGCATGCTCCTGTAGTTCCAGCTACTTGGAAGGCTGAAGCAGAAGGATCGCTGGAGCTCAGCAGGTCGAGGCTGCGGTGGCCAGGAGCGGCCACTGCACTCCAGTCTGGGCAACGGAGTGAGATTCAAACTCAAAAAAACCAAAAAACAAACACACACACAAAAATTAGCCAGGAGTGGTGGCACACGCTTGTATTTCCAGCTAGTTGGAAGGCTGAGGCAGAAGAATCGCCTGAGCCCATCAGGTCGAGGCTGCGGTGGCTGTGAGTGTGCCACTGAACTCCAGCCTCGGCGACAGAGTGAGCTCTGATTCAAAAAAAAAATTAAAAAGTCCCCAAATCATTTATCCTCACCTTCCTCACCCCAGATCGTCACTGCTAGTACCAATATCCCCAAGCATAGTTTTCATCCCTGGGCTGAGGAGTTTATTTATTTATTTTTAATTTAATTTAATTTTTTTATTTTAAAAATATGGCATAGGCCAGGCACAGTGGCTCAAGCCTATAATCCCAGCACTTTGGGAGGCCGAGGTGAGAGGATTGCCTGAGCTCACGGGTTCGAGACCAATTTGGGCAATTTAGCGAGACCTCATTTCTACAATAAATCAAAAAATTATGTAGTTCCAGCTATTTGGAAGGCTGAGGCGGAAGGATCGTTGGAGCCTAGCAGGTCAAAGCTGGGGTGGCCATGAGTGTGCCACTGCACTCCAGCCTGGGCGACAAAGTGAGACTCCAACTCAAAAAAAAAAAAATTAGCTGGGCTCAGTGGCTCAGCCTGTAATCCCGCGCCTTTGGGAGGCTGAGGTGAGTGGATTGCCTGAGCCTGTGGGTTCGAGACCCACCTGGGCAGGCGAGACCTCATCTCTATAATAAAATTTAAAAATTAGCCGGGTGTGGTAGTGAAAGCTGAGGTGGAAGGATCGCCGGAGCCCAGCAGGTTGAGGTTGCGGTGACCGGGAGCGGCCACTGCACTCCAGTCTGGGTGACAGAGTGAGACTCCAACTAAAAAAAAAAAAAAAAATTAGCTGGGCGTGGTAGTGCATGCCTGTAGTTCTGGCTACTTGGAAGGGTGAGGTGGAAGGATCACTTGAGCCCAGCAGGTCAAGGCTGCATTGGCCGTGAGCATACCACTGCACTCCGGCCTAGGCAACAGAGTGAGACTTCAACTCAAAAAATAAAATAAAATAAAGATGATGTGGGGTACAATTCCGGTTAGGTACATAAGTGGTCATCATACAGGTGAAGTTTGGGCCTCCCATTGGTCCTCACCTTGCCTGGTTTGAGATCAGGTACCCTTATTAGTGTTACATGCGCCCCTCCCCAGACAGTGAACAGCTACTGCCAATCCCTCTCATGTAGTATTATGATAAATGTTCAGGGTCCTGGACTGAGGAATTTATATGCTTAAACTTATTTATTCTTCATGACAACTCTGTAAGGTAGAAACTATCGTCACCTCCACTTTAAAAGAGGAACTTGAAGCTCATGGAGTTAAGTAACTGATCTAAGGTCACACACCAGCCCATGTTCCCTTCCTCTCTGGAATCCCCACCCCCCTCAAAAAGCTGGTGTTAAGGCTCTCATTTCTGAACCATGATCGTCTCTCCAAAAACATGAATTCAGAACCACTGTTATAACAACAAATTTAATTACATGTTTATTTTCCCAAAGCCTCCAATTCTGAGATAGTCCCCAGAGCCCTTGGTTCAAATGCATGAAGGAAGGAGGCACTCCCAGGCTTCTATTTTTACAGCGCTTTGCTATTTGGATTCTGTATTCCCTGTATTTTTTTCTAACCCTCCAGCATATTTTGTTCCAATGGAGTCAGGAATATAAGCCATTTAGAAACCCTGAAAGGTCTTTGCATGTTTCTGGTAGACCAAGATTTTCTCATTTTAAATTACATCGTTCTCTGTTTTGGCCAATTGTGGTCTCCACTGACCTTGTAAATGGGTGATGTGGAACAGCCTGTAACTACAAAAATCAGCTTCTTATGCTGTTCCCTGGGCAGCTCCGTGTATTTGTACAGAACCCAAGGGACAGAGCCCAGCTCACACACTGTGGAAAAGAAAAAGAAGGAAAGAGTAATTTGTGTTTAAAACAAAGAAAATTTAAACGTAGGCTGCCTGATATGACTGATAGTAAATCAAAATTGTTTCAGAAAAAAAAAATTATCCTGGAATATAGGTCACCTGACAAGCTATGAAACCCGTTTCCTTGATGCTGATTTGCTCAGTTGCATGGGTTGGGACAGGGTTGGTGGCCTCTGGGCCAGAGGGCCTAACTCCAAGCATTTTGTCATGGAAGTCTAAGAAGGTAAGTCCAGCTGTTGGGGAAAGTTGTAATTAATTTCTTAGCAAGCAACATCAACATGACCTCTAAAGGCAAGGACAAGATAAACCATAAAGGGAAAAACACTGTAGGGTAAGGAAAGGAAAGGTTAGAATAACAAAATATTGGAGTAAAGACTTTATTGACTCTTCAGTGATAAGAGCATTAACTCCACAGAGCATTGTGGTTTATGCCTGTAATCTCAGTACTTTTGGGAGGTCTAGACAGGATTGCTTGAGCCTAGGAGTTTGAGACTAGCCTAGGCAACATAGCAAGACCTCATCTCTGCCAAAAAAAAATTTTTTTTTTTTTAATTAGCCAGGCGTTGTGGTGTGTGACTGTAGTCCCAACTACTTGGAAGACTGAGGCGGATTACCTGTGCCTAGGAGGTCAAGGCTGTCATGAACTGGGATCATGCCACTGTACTCCAGCCTGGGTGACAGAGAGAGACCCGGACTCAAACAAAGAAAAAAAAAGACTGTAGCCAGCTCAGTGGCTCACACCTGCAATCCCAGCACTTTGGTGTAGAGGGGCAAGAGTATTGCCTGAGCCCTGGGGTTCGAGACTAGCTTGGACAATTTGGCGACACCTCATCTCTATAATAAATAAGATAAATTGGCTGGGTGCAATGGCTCAAGCCTACAACTCCAGCACTTTGGGAGTCCGAGGTGAGAGGACTGCATGAGCCCAGGGGTTCGAGACCAGCCTGAGCAACTTGGTGAGACCTCTACAATAAATCAAAAAATAGTGGGGTGTGGTAGCACGGGCCTGTAGTTCCAGGTACATGAAAGGCTTAAGGTGGAAGAATGACTTGAACTCAGCAGGCTGAGGCTGAGGTAGCCATGAGTGTGCTACTGCACTCCAGCTTAGGTGACAGAGTGAGACTCCAGCTCAAAAAAAAAAAAAGAAAAAGAAAAAGAAAGAAAACACTGTAAACTCTCAGAGCCATTATAACTGGAATGAGAAATTCTGGCCTATAGTGTGATTAAATAGAATGACCTTTGGCAAGGTCTCTAGCTATATTTGGCTGAGTTTCCCCATCTGTATGCAGTGTGAGGGTAATACCTGCTTTAACACAGCCTGGATCATCAGATTGGAATTTGGGGAATCTTAATACTGGCTACAGCACAACTGACTAAGTGAATCTTAGTTTCATCATTTGTAAAATAAAAAAGCTGTAAGTTTCCTTATATAAGTCAGTCATTCTATGTAGTACCCTGAAAAATGTAAAGGCTTTCTAGAAATGAAAAATCACATTCTTTCTTTTATTCAATAAATATTTATTTTCCTTTATGGTATACTAGGCACTCTACTAGGAACTGAGGGCAAAACAAAGCCCATCAGGGGTTCATGTTGCATTCGGGGAAGAGACACTATGTATGAAAAAAATAAAGCTGAGTGAGAAGGATGATAAGGAGTGGTATTTTCCCTAATGTGGCAAAGGTGGCCTCTCTGATAAGAAGGGAGAATTGAGCCATGTGGAAGTCTGGGAGAAAAGTATTCCAGGCAGAGGGAATGGCTGGGCAGTACCGAGGGAGGGAAAAAGTGATAGAAGATAAGGTCAGAGGCTCACGCCTGTAGTCCTAACACTCTGGGAGGTTAGCCAGGAGAATTGCTTGATCCAAGAGTTCAGACCAACCTGGGCAACATAGCGAAACCCTGTCTCTACGAAGTAAATATTTAAAAATTAGTCAGGCATGGTATGTGCATCTGTAGTTCCAGCAATTTGGAAGGCTGAGGCAAAAGATTGCCTGAGCCCAGCAGGTGAAGGCTGCAGTGGCTGTGAGTGTGCCACTGTACTCCAGCATGAGTGACAGAGTGAAACTCTGACTCTAAGTAAGTAAGTAAATAAATAAATAAGGTGAGAGAGAGAATAGGACTTGGATTATGTGATCCTTATAGGCTACCATAAGGAATTTGGCATTTTCTTTGACTGAAATTGGAAGCCACTGGAGGGCTCTAAGAAAATACATGACAAGATTAGATTTTTGTCTTAACTGGTTAATCTCTATGCTTGCAACAGACTGTAAGGAAGCAAAAATGAAAACAGATGACTCGTTAAGTGGCTACTGCACAATTCTGAGTGGAGCCCAGAGTGGTAGCAATGAAGATGGTAACAAATGGTCGGTTCTGACAGGAGTTTCTGATGGATTGGATGTAGGTTATGAGAAAAAGAAGAGTCAAGAATGACTCCAAGCCATGGCCTTACTAGACTCTGGTGTGGTCATGTGCTCTTTGAGCTGACTGTTGTCATGCTTCTTGACTTTGGCCCCCTCCCCCACCTTGGAGAGGTGAATCTTCTCTCTCTCTCTAATTTACTTTAAATAAATTATATCTTCTAGCCAGGCTCAGTGGCTCAGCCTGTAATCCCGCGTCTTTGGGAGGCTGAGGTGAGTGGATTGCCGAGCCCGTGGGTTCGAGACCCGCCTGGGCAG